ATGCCACCCCTGTAGATCCACTCCTGAAAACACACTAATGCATAAATACAGCTTAAGTGTCAAAACGTCTCTCAAACACTCTCTCATTTTCTCTCCCTCAGACGGATCATCCTCATCGTGCTGATGTATACGACCTGTTCCCAGGAACATTTCAGACCATAGAGATGACTGTAGGAAGTCCTGGACAGTGGCTGCTTCACTGCCATGTGACCGATCACATCCATGCGGGCATGGAGACGCTTTTCACTGTTCATCCGAGAGGTTAGTAGTGAAGGTTACATTACTAGTACATTTCGATTTTATTCTCGAAACATTTCGATTTTATTCTCGTTATTTCAACTTTATTCTCGAAACATTTCGCCTTTATTCTCGAAACATTTTGACTTTATTCTCGTAATTTCAACTTTATTCTCGAAACATTTCGCCTTTATTCTCGAAACATTTTGACTTTATTCTCGTAATTTCAACTTTATTCTCAAAACATTTCGATTTTATTCTCGTAATTTCAACTTTATTCTCAAAACATTTCGATTTTATTCTCGTAATTTCAACTTTATTCTCAAAACATTTCGATTTTATTCTCGTAATTTCAACTTTATTCTCGAAACATTTCGCCTTTATTCTCATAATTTCGACTTTATTCTCAAAACATTTCGATTTTATTCTCGCAATAAAAACGGGAACACAAACAGAGAATTTTTAAAAATAAATATCCTAGTCAAGCTTGTTCATATAAAAGCAGTACGTTTATCCTCGTTTCGAGATTGCAAAAATGCAAAGTATAAAATGACCATTTTGATAAATTAAGAATAATAAACAACACGAAACATGACATGTACTTGCTTTTCTGAGTTCTTTGTTGAGTTAAGAATAATTGCTCTCTCACTTAGGGATTTTATTATGCTTTTTTACGTAAACAACTCTTTAGAGAGGATGAATGACTAAACTGTATAAAGTGACTGTTTTTATTTGTAAATGTCAAAATTCAGCACAACACCAGAAACGCTTTGTCCAGAACTGGAAACTGCTTTCCCTTATGGTTAGGGTGGTCATATGCACTGTTCATACGGGACACGTCCCGGCCAGGATTTCAATATTGCCTAAAATATCCAGGTTTTGGCTGTTTGCACTGTGCAGGTCGATCGTTGTGCGACATTCATGAGAGCTATAGAGAGCAGAGCGACGGCTCCTTATGCTTTTGAATAGCTCTCGCACCTACTTTGGTGTCTTTTTTTGATCGGTGCGCAGCGACGCTTCAAGTCAAACGAACGAACAAACACGTGCGCGTATTTGCATCGCTTTGATCGTTCCCTGTACATCTCACCTTCTCACGCACAGCCCCACGATTGGTCGATTATGTTAACTGTGAAAGATAACAAAATACAAGCATCAAATAATAGGTAATATATTCTGAGTTTTGTAGTCCAGTAATAAGAATCTATGTGTTCATATTTATGTTATGTCTTTGTTCGCAGCCCGACAGTAAAACTCATAGAAGAAGGAGAACAAGAACAAAACAAATCAGGGAGTCCAAATTAAATTGTTATGGGTTCCAGCGCATGTAGGAGTGAAGGGGAATGAAGAAGTAGATAAGGTGGCAAAGAAGGCGTTGAAGAAGGAAAACGTAGAAATTAAAATAAGAATCAGTAAAGCAGAAGTGAGAAGCATAATCTGGGGAAACAATAAACCAAATGTGGCAAGAGTTGTGGGATAAAGAGGGAAAAGGGAGACATATATTTCAAATTGAAAAGAGTATTAAAGTAAATAAGGTAGGAGTTGGGAACAGGAAAGGGAAAACTTAATGAGATGGATGGCAACCGAAGAATTGAAGAAATGGGGATAGAAAATATTACACTTAAAACTCCGTTGAAAAATGGCTTGAATCATTATAAAATATATAATGCTTTAATGACATACTTAAAAATTTAGAATTTTTTTTTTTTTTTATTGTTTAGTTCTTCCTATTAAATCAATGGTCCACACTCCAGCCCAGTAGGTGGCGGCAATGGTGCATATTGTTTGTATTGCCAACCGCCATACAAGTCAACAAGAAGAAGAACGAAATGTTTGCGGAAATAGTGTCTTTGTTTGAGTATTTACATCTAAAGCCAATTACTGTACCGTTCATACATAAAGTTTGTAGCTATTGAGTACAAATGGGGAGAATGAGTACTTTTTGAGTAAGGATCCGCATTCTTTTTCAGTCAGTTCAAAGTTCTATGGATGTTTGTGATTAGAGTTTGTAGGTAATAAAAGAGGAAAGTTATGACTATAGCGCATGCTATTCTCACAGTCGTCATGAGATGTGTGTAAAAATCACATTTGGCTTGTCTGTTTAGTTTCTCAGAGTTTCACTTCTCACAGGAACTATTTTTCAACTGATGACGCTGATCTATTCATTGTTAAAGGGGTGGTTCATTGCGATTTCACTTTTTTAATGTTAGTTAGTGTGTAATGTTGCTGTTTGAGCATAAACAATATCTGCAAAGTTACGAAGCTGAAAGTTCAATGCAAACGGAGATATTGTCTTTTAAAATTATGGCAGTTTAATGCCTACAAAAACGGCTGGTAGGGACTACAACGAGTTACTTCCGGGGTTCGTGACATCACAAACCCAGATAAACCCCGCCCTCGGGAAAAAGCAGCAAAGGGGGCGGGGCCATGCTGCGCTGTTTTAGAGAAGAGGAAGAGAAAACTAGAATGAATGAATGAATGAATGAATGAATGAATGAATGATGCATTTATATAGCGCTTTACTGTGTATTGTTGTACACCCAGAGCGCTTTACAATCATGTGGGGGGGTCTCTCCTCAACCACCACCAGTGTGCAGCATCCACTTGGATGATGCGACGGCAGCCACAGGACAGCGGCGCCAGTGCGCTCACCACTCACCAGCTACAGGTGGAGAGGAGAGAGAGTCATAGAGCCAATACTCTGCATCTCTCTCTCTCTCTCTCTCTCTCATTCAGCTCAGCTCCAACAATGAACTGTTACAATTATACACTTATTTTCACATAGCTATGAGAAGCGTTAAACATGGACGCGCATGCAGTTGCCGTACTGTATTAAATATTTAATCAGGATAAAACCGTGTATTAAAAGCTAACATAAGCAGTAGAATTTACAAATAACAGTATATCTAAAAGTATGAGACAACAACAAACAAAAAACATAGGCCTACCATTAAAAGCCGTACTTGCACAGGTTCTGCACAATCCTCTTCACTAATATCCTCTGCTTCTCAATCAATGATAAACTGATAAGCGATATTAACGCCGTTGTTTACAATACAACCGGAGCACATGCTGCTGAGGAGAGGGGCGGGACGTTTAGATGCGCACTAGAGGCGGTTTAGCCAATCACAAGTTAACACACTGGGCTAGCTAACCAATCAGAACCCATCGCCTATTTCTGAGGGAGGGGCTTCATAAAAGAAGGAAATGATCAGCTTGTTTCTCAGAGAAGGGACAGAGCGGTGTGGACTAAAGGTAAATGATGTGAAAAATAATGTGTTTTTTTTTAAACGAACCATTAAGGCATGTCAGACTGCACCCCATAAACACAATCAAGCCAAGAAAAAAAACAGTGAACCACCCCTTTAAGAGCAGTAAAGACATGCATGCATGCGTGCCATATTTTCTTTTGGTGTTTATACAGTAGTTTTTGTAGAGCCTATTCAATGACAGATCCACTATAATGACATTGTTCTGAACGGGAAACACCCCACACCTGGGGGATTCCAGAAAGCGTGTGTGTTTGCGCAGAGTAAAGGAGTTTCTTTAACTTTCATTTTCAAAGCAAACTGAAGTAACTTTCAGGATAAGTAGTTTAGCAGCTTATTCTTTGAACATAACCTGACCTGGATAGGAATGTTCCTGTTGCTGCAGGTAAATAAACTGTATATCTCATCTTCAGAGGTATTTGGCTTCAGTAGGTGTGACAGCAGATTATGCTGTATGTTATTATATTAAGTGCATTACATTAAGTTATATACAGTGGGTACGGAAAGTATTCAGACCCCCTTAAATTTTTCACTCTGTTATATTGCAGCCATTTGCTAAAATCATTTAAGTTAATTTTTTTTCCTCATTAATGTACACACAGCACCCCATATTGACAGAAAAACACAGAATTGTTGACATTTTTGCAGATTTATTAAAAAAGAAAAACTGAAATATCACATGGTCCTAAGTATTCAGACCCGTTGCTCAGTATTTAGTAGAAGCACCCATTTGATCTAATACAGCCATGAGTCTTTTTGGAAAAGATGCAACAAGTTTTTCACACCTGGATTTGGGAATCCTCTGCCATTCCTCCTTGCAGATCCTCTCCAGTTCTGCCAGGTTGGATGGTAAACGTTGGTGGACAGCCATCTTTAGGTCTCTCCAGAGATGCTCAATTGGGTTTAAGTCAGGGCTCTGGCTGGGCCATTCAAGAACAGTCACAGAGTTGTTGTGCCCACTGTAATATATATATATATATATATATATATATTCATTTCAAACATGAAGTTCTGCATTAAAAAATTAATATGCATGCTACATCTCACTTTACACTTTTTTTTTAGTTTGATCATAATTTTTAGTTAGCATCAAACAAAAATGTTAAACGGTTTGATGGAAAATAAGAACAACTTGAATAGTAACGTATCTGGAATAATTTGACTTTGATAAATAACAACTAACATAAATGTTAAAGTGAGACTGTTCTCATATAGTAAAGCGACAGATAACACTAAAAACACTACAAGCACAAATGTTCGAGTTTGTGTAGCAGACGAAACTGCTCTGCTTATTTGGCATTTGGTTATCAAGGTTTTTTAGCACTGAGCCCATAGTAGCAGCCAAATAAAGTTTTAACAGCTTTATTATTATTTTTTTTTTTTATGCATTAGCGTATTTTTTTCTACAACTGGAATACCTCGTTTGTGTTGATTCCTAATGAGGATTTACATTATTTTACACATTGCATATTTTAGCACAGAAACCTGAAAGACTGTCTTGACTGTTGTCATATCTTAAGATTACTGATCTTGTGTGTGACTTGATTTTTTTTTTTTTCAATAATTTATTTTTCTTTATTATTTAAAAAAAAGTGTAGGCCTATTTTTTTGTTGTCAATGTCCCAATTGAGGAACAGGATGTGAAAATTTAAGATAAATGTTCATGTTATATGTTTTGGTTGCATTTGTGAGTTAATAAAAATGTAGATATCGATATATCGATCGATGTTCTCCTGTATCGAATCGTATCGTAGAATTTTTTG